TGGTGGAACGGAGGCATTGGGTTAGAGTATGGAGTCGCTTTGGGAGGGAGAGCATGGGTCTCCTGGGATAATAGATATTCTGCGGCTGTCTTCGCGATGTTAGCTCTTCTAGACTGGTACCGGCTCTGGCAACCCCCTTCCTTCCTTCTCTTTTTTTTTTTTTCCTCACATAATTTTAATATTGAGAAATATCATAGGCTAGTAGTAGTTTTAAAAGAAAAAAAATAAAAAATGAAACTATTTCTTCGTCGGTATAACTAATAAGTTATAACTTATATAAGATATGAAAATGTCAAGAAAATAGTTAAAATTTAAAAGTATAATGGATAAAATATTATGAGAGTTTTCATTCCACTTTGCATTTAATTTTTTTTATTTTAACCATTTTACTTGTTATTAAATTAATTAGGTTTTCATAGTTTAAAAATATGAAAATTCACTCGCACTAGAAAAACACCCCCTCTATAATGCTAGGATTGGTAATCAAATTTATATATACTTTTTTATCTTAACACCAAATATGGGCAAATAACTTATCCGACTGTTGGCTACGAGAACCAAATAAAGATCCAAGGTTTTAAGTTATACAAAATACACACTTTGATTGATGAACAATTGAATCGTAATTGAAAATAAATGATAGGGTGGATGAGCACTGAAGATAATGGCAAAATAACAAAAAAAATAAAGATTATAAAGTAAAAAGCATGAAATTAAGTGCATGTTTGATTTGTTTTTTTTTTCAATTTATTTGTTTTTTAAAAGTATAAATTAGGTCAAATAAGATTTTTGAAAAGCTCTTACAAAAATAACCTTTTTTAAAAAATAAAATTTAAAAAAATAGTTTAAAAAAAAGCTCTAGATAAGAGCTTTCTTTTTTCTTCTTTTAAAAATACGTTAATTTTTCAAGAAATATCCATTCTCTCAATCAACCTCTCTCTTCTCTCTGTCTATCTTTTGTTATCTCGTCTATGATAAAAAAATATGACATGGAAAGTAATAATATATTTTTAGATTTATTGGTTTACATTCACAAAACCTTCTCTGTGTCTATCTCTCACCATTAAACCATCGATCTACAAATCAAAAAGTACAGTATGGTAAACAATAACGAGTTCTTGGGTTTATGGGTGTTAAGTTTTTTTTAATGATTCAAGTTTGGTAAAACATGTCTTAGTATGTAACAAAGTGATTTATACCTTAGTATGTAACATTAGTAAGGAAAAATAAGCTTTGGCATGTAACATCCGATGGTGAAGTTTTGACTTTGGTATGTAACATATGATGCTAAAGCCTTGGTCTTAGCATGTAAATTTCATGTTGAAATTTTGGTGTTGTTTAATTTTTTTGAATATGACGTATAACAATACTATATTTTAAACATTTTTAAACATGTAACTTATTTGTATTTCAATACAACATAAACTCTTGGAGTTAAAGCATGTAACCATTTTTTTTTCAACTGTAATAATATTTTTTTGAACCTAATGTACAATAACAACATTTTTTAAATGTAATTTGGTTTCTATTTTTGTATTGCAATATGATATAAATTTTTGGAGTTAAACATTTTCATGATAGAGATAAAATTTAAGATCAAAAAAGAATTTGACATAAAAAGGAAAATGTATTGAAAAATTATTCAACGTCAATATTATTGTGAGGGTAAAATGGTTGGGATGAAATAGATTTGGATGAAAAGATATTATTCAACATCTTCAAATTTGGATAATTATCTTTTAGGTTACTTAATTTGTTACATTCCATATAATCATACAAAAAATTCAGCACTAAGTGTTACATGCCAAAATCAAAGCTTCAACACTAGATGTTACATGTTAAGGTTAAAGCTTCAGCACCATATATTACACAGCAAAGCTTCATTCTTATTACTAATGTCATATGCTAAAACATGAATCACTTTGTTATACGCTAAGACATGTTCTACCAAACTTGAATCACTAAAAAAACTTAACACTCATAAACTCAAGAATCTGTTGTTGCTCACCCTGCCATGTTTTTTGATCTGTAGTTCGACAATGAGATGACGAGAGATAGACAGAGAAAGAGTTTTGTGAATATAAACCAATAAACTCAAGAATATGTTGTTACCTTCCATATTATGCTCTTTAATCATATGATAAGATGACGAGAGATAGATAGAGAGATAATGATGGTGGTAAAATTAGAGAATGTTAGATGACGAGGGAGAAAAATGGAGAGCATAGAAAAATGGGGAGCAAAGCAGACGAATGGTGGGAGAGAAAATTTGAAAGCACTCGTACATGAAGAGGTTCATTAAGGGCAATTTTGTTTAAAATTTTTTTCTCTTAGCTAAAAATAATTAAAATTAAGAAAAATGTTATTTTTTAAAATACTCTATCTTTTAAGGGTTAAAAAAATCATCCCAAAAAAAAAACAAAAAACCCAACAAGTAAAATCTAAGATTTTTTTATTCTTACAAAGATTATGGGAAAGAAAAACTAAAAATTCAAAATTACATTCAGATATTATTTAAAGGTTTTCTCTTTTCTTCACCAAAAGATTTTAATGTCAAATACATCGTTTTTTCTTTTTTCTTATTTATTGGGGAATTGAAGCATTATGGTCTGATTGCTTGCTAGATCAATAAAAATCTAATACTATTACTACTATATAAATTTGAGAGTTGTTTCGTTGCTTTATAAATTTGTTTAATTTTAACATCTGAAATCGTATATAAACTTGAAACTGATTTGTTTCGCTTTAATTTATTAAGTGATTAAAGATGATATAAATACATTTTATAGTAATTTTAACCAAAATTAAAAATTATATAATTTATTTTACCAAATAGCTTACCAAACAACTTTAACTTAATTATAAAATTATTATTTTTTATAAGAGCTTTATAATAGCTTTTAAACTAAAAAAAACATTAAGCCAAACAAGCTCTAAAAAAGCATGCCAAATAAACTCACATATTACACTAGATGAATGAGTGGTTAAGAGAGAATTCATAACCCCAAGTGATATGAAGAGATGTATCTCACTTATTCTCAATTTTTGAATAACTTCTATAAAGTTTTTAGTTAAAACATAATGAATTTAAAGAAAATTAGTTTCTTAAATTTATATGGTTAGTAATGAATTATGAGAACTAGTATAACATATCATAAGTAGACACAAAATATGCTTTATGACATATCTGAGATATTTGATGAAATGATCGTATTACACTGAGAAGTTTATCACTGAAGGGTTTTATCAAATTCTTTAATTGATTCTTTAACATTTGAGTGATAATAATGTATTGGTAGATGCTGCATATTATTTACCAATATAAATCAATTATCAAATTGATATTTGATTATGATTTATATTTATTGTCAATATGTTAAAAGTCTAATAGATCACTCATATTAAGTGACATGATTGAGATTAAATAAGAATAATTAATTAAGTTGGACATAATTAAAACAAACCAAAATATAATGAAAAAATTAATTAAGGTGGCGTTTAGTACTTTACAATGCAATGTGATTACAGGTAATGTGATTGCAAGCAATGTTATTGCATGGAAAATAACATTACAGTGTTTGGTATACAAGCAAAATAATGATTAAAATGCAGAGAAGATAATATTGCAGCGTTTGGTTTACAAGTATTTTGGTAAGAATGTAATGTTAATTTTTAAAATTACCCTTAATTATTAAAATATAAATTTAATATATTTATATTTTTTATTATTAATTTTTATATAATATCATCTCTTAAATATATTTTTAATGTCATATATTTTATTTTTATTTATTATTATAATCTTATATATTTTATTTTCATTTCTTTAATATAATTTTTTATATTATATATTTTAGTTTAATTTATTTTACCTATATTATATAAATTTTAGTTTTTTATATTTTATTTTATTTTAATTTTTGATTCTTATATTATATATTTTGTTTTAATAATTTTTATTTTAATTATAACATTATAAAATATTTTTAATAATGTAATAAAGTTGAAGGGTAAAAATGTTTTTAAGAATATTGCATAGTGCAATGTAATGTGATTGCATTGGTTTTAGATTGCAATCACATTACATCATTTGACTGTAATGTAATTGCATTGTAACTTACATTGCAGTGTTTGTTTTGCAACAGACCACTGCAATATAATTTAATTGGACACATTACAGGTAATGTGCTCTCACTTCTCTCATATCAAACGTCACCTAAATTCACAATGATTTAATTAAATAAAAAAATAACTGTTGTATCTAAGATTACAATTTAGTTTGGCTTAATAAATATGTTCTGTTAGTCAACTAAAATTCTAAACCTTTAGTCGTTTCATAAAAATAAAAACAGAAAAGTAATTTTCTTTATCTTATAGAAAAAAGATTCAAAATTTTTGATTTTTTTATTTTAGAAACAAAACTTGTTAGCACAAGTAAAAATCTTACTTTTTGATAAAGTCTTATTTAATCATTATATGAATTATTATTAAAAGTTAAATATTTGAGTGGTTGAAGATTTAACAAATCTTAAAAGTGAAAAATTAAAGATTTCGACTATATGATTTCGTATTGATTTGTTCCATTTTCGAGTTACTTGTTTTAACATAAGTTTTTTTTATATTTAATTGATTTTTAATTATGATATTTAGAGTAAAGTATGTAATTTTTAAAATTATGAATATTTATAATTTATTTAAAAAATATATAAAAATATAAATATTAATTTATAAAATTTAATTATTTTTTATCAAAATTTAATTTTTTAATTGTTATAATATTATATTTTTAATTTTTTATTTTTTTTTACTTGAAAATGAAATCGAATTCCAACAGCAATGACAACTTTACCATGAAAAAGAAAAGAAGAAATCACAATGATGAGGACACGTCAGCAAATCCACATGTCTGAACTTAGTAGAATTAGAAAAAAATACCCGGCATTTCTTTTTTTGTTTTTGGAGTGAAAATATTCGGGAGTTTGATTAGACAAGAACCGCCGATCTCCAGGCACCAGGAAATCCAGCGGTTCTCACAAAGTTTGTCATTGGAAGTAAAAAAAATAAAAAAGCACACTGGCACTTGCTTCCCGCCCCTAAAAATATATTCCTACTTATTCAGTTGACAAAAATCGCTAAAGTAAAAACCGGTTGGAAGCAAAAAAAATGTGCGGGAGAGCCCGTTGTACTCTTCGCGCCGATGACATCCCCAGAGCTTCCCATCGCAACGACGGCCCCGTCCGCCATGTTCACATGGACCGGTAAAATTAAGCTGTTCGACTTTTTCTTTTATCCTCCCTACTTCTCGTGCATGTATTTATTTATTTTTATTTTTATTTTTTTTATATTTGGAGAGGGGATTTAAACCTTACTCTTAGGCAGGGATAGTACATGGGCCAAATGTTCGGGTGTAATATATTTATTTATTTATTTTTGCTGATTTTGGATTTTGATTTTAATTTTAAAACCATATAGGTACCGTCCATCGTATAACGTTGGCCCGGGAATGAATTTCCCGGTTGTTCGACGGGACGATGGATCTAATGGCGATGGAGGAGTCGTTCTTCACTGCATGAAATGGGGATTAATTCCTAGTTTTACTAAGAAAACCGATAAGCCTGACTTTTACAAGATGGTAATCTTCTGATTAATTCCGTTTTGAATCTGTTGGCAGCATTCATGTTATTTATTCTTTGTTTGGCTTTGTTGTTTTTGATTTTGCTATTTACTTTTACACACAAAAGTAAAAACAAATAATGCATTTCTATTTAATACTAGCAAATAATATATCCGAGGAATTAAATTTAAAATTGCACTTTTAGAAATGACAAAATACTTGATTTTCTTTGATATGAAAATGAAACAATTATGTTTTGAAAGCAATGCTTTATTTTAGCAATTTATTCATTTTTAATCAAATATGATTTTGATTTGTAGGTTTTGCTTTTACATTTTAGTAACTTTGAAGAAGTAAATAACAAATAGTTAAAACAAGTAACAAAAGTAAACCAAACAAAGCCTTAGAGGCATGTTAGCAAAATCTTTAGTTGCTTTTTTACATTATAGAGTTATTACTGTAGCTTCTTACTTCATTTTGCTTGTAAAATCCCATCATGGTTCCTAATTTTTTGTAGCTTAAATTTAAAATCTGCATTTATATACCTTCTGTATATGCATTTCAAGGAGACTATGAATATCCAATGTTGTAAAACTATTTGACGTAACATGGATTACAAATTCACAGTTCAATGCTCGGTCTGAGTCAGTATGTGAAAAGGCTTCTTTTCGGCGTCTACTCCCTAAAAGCCGGTGCCTAGTAGCAGTTGAAGGGTATGGATGGTACATTGATCTATTTACTAAAAATCACATGTTCTCTCTGGCTCTCTGCACTTATTCTTATGCTTTATGAAATCAAATTTCAAAGCCCTCTGATTTGTTTATGAAGATGCTATAGCTGAAGCCTACTATTGCAACCAGTATTGAAGCAATATTTCTGTGGAGTGCACCCACACTCAAATCGAGAATCATGACCCTATCTTGAAGCATTGCATGTCTGTTTCTTTTTATGTCTTCTGTTGGCTTATGGATAAGAGCAAACTGCAGGTTCACTAACCTTGTTAGAAATCTTATTAATTGGTTCGGGTGGTTGTTTTCTAGGCTGAGAATAGCTTAGTTTAATTTGAATTTTTGCCTCTTGTAAGACGATATAAATCAAAACTTATTTCAATAGGAAATTGGACCTTCCAGGTTGACTTTATCCTGTTGCTGGTTGTGTCCTTTTTTTTGGCAGACTGTTTGTGCCTTATTGAAGTTTGATTTGTGCTGTTTTTTGTCATCATTTTGTAGAAGTCTCTGCCCTCATATTTGTCTAGTTTTCCTTACTAGAAGTGCTTACCATTTGATTGTGTCATTTATCTCCACAAGCATTGTTTGTATATTCAGATTCTATGAGTGGAAGAAAGATGGCTCGAAAAAGCAGCCTTACTACATTCATTTCAAAGATGGTAGGCCTCTAGTGTTTGCTGCTCTTTATGACTGTTGGGAGAATTCAGAAGGTGAAGTGCTCTTTTAAATGTCCTTGGAATTAATTTTAGGCCGTTTGCTTTCAGTACCTGATTTTTCTCCCCCCATTTGTTTAACTTGGTAATAATTTTATTGGTCCTCTGCTTTATTCATTCACTTCAGACAATTATTTATATTTGTGTTGTACCACATTTAGATTTTCTTTGGGTCAAAATTTATTCTTTGATGACATAAGATACCTCTTCTTCTAGGATACAAGCTGTGATAATTTTTTCTTTTATTATTATTCATTTAGGTCGATTACAGTGGTGTATTTGTTCTTGCAGGTGAGAAACTTTACACCTTCACTATACTTACAACTGCCTCCTCATCAGCTTTTCTGTGGCTGCATGGTAAGTCATGCTTCTTTGAATTTGTGTTGTGCTTACTAATGATATGGGCCTAAAAAGAGCACAATAGTGCATTCTGATCCATGTGCCAACTCCTTGTAATGAGAAAACCCTTAGTTTGTTGGTTTTGTTTGTTTGTTTCAGAATATAATAATGTTCCTAAAGCCTGATGGTTACAGGCTTTGTTTCATTTGAACAAGATCAACAGTCCACTTTTACAAATAAAATTTAAGACACATGGTTGTGGCATAGTGAACTTTGAAGTCAAATAAAGGTGAAAAAAGAAAAGCGGAAAAGGAGTAACTGGTTGATAACCAAAGCATCATTGGCTTTTACTCAATTTTTTCCAAACCAATATATAAACATCAATGTAGATCTTAATGTAAAGGGGTTCTTGTGAAAGAGGAACCATTAGGGGGTTCTTGTGGAAGAGTAAGCATTAAGGTTGCTTCCAGAAGAGGTACTGTTAGGGGTCCTGGAAAAGGTAAAGTTAGGGTTTCTTTCTATAGAGATACCATTGGGAGTCCTTTTGAAAGCGGTAGTGTTGGGAGTTATTCCGAAAGAGGTAGTGTTGGAGTCCTTTCGGAAGGGCAAAGGCAGCATTGTAAACAAGTTAAACAGGATGTACAAATATCCATGAATTACAAATTCTTTCAAGTATTGCTAACATATTCAGTTAATGTTTCTTTGTAGACAGGATGCCTGTAATTTTGGGTGACAAGGAATCAACAGATACATGGCTAAATGGTACCAAAATTGATACGCTGCTTAAGCCATATGAAAATTCAGATTTGGTAAGATAAGAGCTTTATCATCAATGTGAGAAATTAATGGGATACATCTGCCTTTACGTATCTTGAATGATAACGAGGTTCTAATTGATTTTCTTGGATGCTAAAATTTATCTTTCAGGTTTGGTATCCAGTGACCTCTGCAATTGGTAAGCTGTCTTTTGAAGGACCAGAGTGTGTCAAGGAGGTAGGGCAAATAGGATATTATGTAATGTAGTATCTTATTCTAGCAGATTCGGCTAGTCCAGATTCTAGGTCTAGATACACCATATATAGGGAATTTTCTGAATCTCCTTGGTCACAGGGATCATGTTCAACAGTAGGTAAGGTTTAGCCAGTAACTTTGCATATGTCGTGATTCCTTACTTTGTTTGATTGACTGGTTCTGCTTAGCCTGGCTGAGAAATTACTTGAGTGAAAAATTTTTCCAAAGTTGCATTCGGGGGTTAACTCCTCATTTTGGGTTTAATTCCAAGGAATCCAATAATCACTTCTTCAACTGTGTTGGTAGGTACCATTGAAGACACAGGAAAAGAATCTGATTTCAAAGTTTTTCTCAACAAGGGAGGTTAAGAAGGAACAAGAATCGAACATGGAGAAAAGTTTGTGTGATGAATCTGTCAAAACAAATTTGCTGAAGAACTTGAAGGAGGAGTGGAATAGTCCAGAAGACAAAGAAATTCCATCCTTGGCTTCAAAGGGGGACAATGATTCAAAATCTAGTGTTCTTGCCCCAACTTGTGAGGACGTCAGGAAGTGCCAAACAAAGAGGGACTATGAGGAGTTTTCAGCTGATATAAAGCCAGCTAAAGATGAAATTGAAATAGGTCCTGCCAGGAAAAAGGGAAACATCAAGGGTGATGCTGGTAAGCAACCAACGCTATTTGCATACTTTGGCAAAAAATAGTTTGTTCCACTGGAATGCATTTGCATGGGTCAAGGAATAGGTTCACCGTATGGAAACTGCCTGTTTATAGAGGCAGTGCAGGTTGTATTTTGGAGGCCGGGTAGGATCTACGTGTAGGATTTTGTGGCAAATGCTAGTCTGCATTTTGCAATTGTAGTTTAGAGCTCTTTGGGTGGCACATTTTGAACACCTTGTTTGGTGGGAAGAGACTCAGTTGTACTTGTATGGATTTAGGATCCATGTATATGATTATGAATAGTTCCTTTAAAAAGAAATCAGAACCTTACTAACTTCCTTCTCAGATTTTTCATGTGAGAATTATCTTATACATCGAACAGTTTGCAGGGGACAATCCTGCCTGAAATAACTTATCGTTACTGGTAACATTCTTTATCTCTCTATCTTCATTTCTGGGATTACAATTAACTCAGGTAATCTGCCCAAAATAATCAACACGTTGATAACATCTAGGCTGATCAAACAGTCAAAAGTAATACAAGAATGTCTCCAGGTGGATTGGTATCGAAGTTCCTCATGCTATTTGAAAGGATTACTAATCTTTTAATTCTCCAGTGTCTGTTCTGTTTTGTACGGACAACATAACTACTACAAATTGTCAGTATCTTCGGCACATCCACATTCATTTTCATCAAAGCAAGTTATTGTTCAATATAATTGTCAACCTAATGCTTAACCTTGCTGACTGAACCTAATGCTTAACCTTGCTGACTGAACCTAATGCTTAACCCTGCTGGCTGAAGGTTCCAACTAATTACGCTAATTGTTCCTTCAGGAGAAGAAGATTAAGATTGCTCAACAATGAGAAGTCCTAACAGTATTCAACAAAATCAAAGAACTGCATTCCCAGCCTTGATATTGGATACAATTTTAAAAGATCCCATAGCAGTGGACTAAAAGTATTCAGCAGTAGCTCCTTGGCAGGGCAGTGATCAATTCAGTAGCTAAAGAATTACATGTTTCAGTAGTGCGAATCCAAATGTATTTAGCTGTTGTAAAAACTAAAATTAGCACGGTCTAATGACATTCACATCATAGTGCATCACATTTCATTTTGGATGGAATAGATGGAAACCATAGGCAAGTTAACTTAGTTTTCAAGGTTTACACGTACTTTGAGATTATACACTAGTTTCATCAGGAATTGGCTTTTAATTCAGATATGCTATAAAACCTTAAAATATTTCCACATTTCCATCACAGAAATCAAAAATACTTTTCTTCTGACAATCCTAGAGTTCAATGATAGGATTTTATAGCATTCCTCTATATAAATTCATTAAAACAACAGAGAAAACAGAGCAGTGTATTAGTAACATCTAATATCTCAGATAAAGCAGCCAAGATTTTTATATCTGAACCAAATTCATGCACTACAAAATAATACCACAACACAAACAAGAACAAAATTTTTTTTAATAAATTCAATACAAAAGTTCACACTAAAAACTACCTTGAATTATCATTTCTTACTCACTCTCCTTGCGGCACAAGCAATCAATGCATTCCTCTGCTGTTATTCAGAATCGACCCGAGAGTCCCCAACACCGCAAAAGCCAGAAGTGGACTAACATCCAAGGTTGCGAAAATGGGCGGAATTATATTCCTAAACAGATTCAAATAAGGATCACAAAGATCCCTAATAGCCGAAAGTGGCTGCCTGTCCCAAGGGATGTTAGGGAACCAACTGAGCAAAACCCTAACCATCAAAACCCCACTGTATATATCAAGCCACTTTGCTAAACCCGCGGCCACCACCGTCAACGGCGTGTTCAGGTATCCACTTGGGCGGTCCTTTAAGGAAGCGAAGAAGAGCGGTCCCACAGTGGAAAAAGGGTGAGGGTTCTGGGAGGTTGTTTTGAGAGCAAAATTTTGGACCATCTTGGTGAAGATAATGGTGGCGGAGAGGGCTATGGAGAAAAGGGTTTTGAGGGTTCGAGTTGAATCGCTGAGTCGGGACTGAGCCGGGATTTGGGGTGGTCTGCAGGGTATTGCTCGGGAAGGAGAGCCGGAAGCTAAAAGGGTAAACTTGGGGTGTTTTTGGTTGGAGTTTACGGGTTTAATGGAGAGAGAGAGGGGAAGGGAGTTGGTTTTGGAGGCGAAGATTGGGGAAATAGGGTTTCGTGGAGGGAGGTAGACTGAAGCTCGGAGAAGGAGCGTCTGGCTGAGTAACGACATGCTTGCAAATGTTTGTGTTGTTTGGTTTGTTTTGTTTTGTTTTTTTCTCGGGAAACAAACGTTCAGAGAGAGTAGGGTTTGGAGTTATGATGGAGAAAAGTGGATTGAACTACCAGACAGGTACGTTATCCATATATACTGAGTCGACTCTCGAGTTAGGAAGCTTTGGTTTTCCGTTGTTCTTAATTGGATAATCGGACTGGCAAACAGAAAACTCAAAAACTCACGAGCCCATTAATATAGCAGCCCAAAGAGATAAAGCCCAGTTGGGACAGAGTTCTTTTTTTCAAGCATTTAGGTGATGAACAGTGAATACTTAGTAATGATTAATTAAAATGATTAATTAAAAAATGATATAGATGTTTAATATTCCTACTTCTTATCCATGGGAAATTAAGTGACTTGGTTAATACCATTTTAAAAGGTACTCTGTCATTGGAAGGGAAAAATCAAATTATTATGCATTTTGCATTAAATGATATATTAAAAGTGATATTACGTCGATAAAATATGAATGATAATGAATATTAACAGATATCCTCAGTTGCATGCGTAATTAATTTGTTAGATGATGAGCACTTGGATTCTGGCGCTGCACCCTCATTATTTCCAATTGAAGCTGGAGGTTTTTATAGCCAAGAGGGGTTGGCACCGGAAAAGGAACAAAGTCCAAGTTTGGAACCAAGTAATGAGATGAGCAAGCTTCCTACAGCTAGCTCCCAATTCTTTTAAGGTAAAATCCAACCTACTTTTGAGCTCCACCATCGTTTTAGGCTGAATTGCTCAATCAACATACATACATTAAATTTGAAAGGGGACCAAAACCAAAACAGTGAGAGGGAGGAAGAATTTCAGTTTCTGTGTAAAGCATTTGGAAGAATCTTCAATCTTCAGCACCATAATTTAGTCAATATTGGCACAATTAGATTTACTTGTTACCGAGATCATATAAAGAGAGTTATGTAGGCTTAAGTACATCTTAACAGAAGAAAAGAAAACTAAAACCAAAGGAAAGAAGAAAAGGAAAGTATCCAATTAACATCAACATAAGGGAAACAATTGAGGGCGTAAGAAGGGCAAGTACATATAATAAGCCTGTTATCCACTTTCCCTTGGGCGTGATTTCCATGATGACTCTTCAGCATTCTCAGAGGCCCTACCATGACCCCCCATTGAACAACTGGACGTGACCCTAGGCAGAACCCTCGCCTTAGCCTTATTCCCCAGCCGTATGGTGCTTCTCCTCCTTCTCCGCAGCCGCCTGCGCCCCTGCACCAGCCAACCAGCACTGTTGAATTGGAAACATTGATATGGTCATGGAACCTCTCTTCAGCATCCTAAAAAATGGTTGTGCTAAGTGTTTAAGCCAATTAGCATCTTAATTCTTATATAGTGACTGTAAAGATGAAGCGAGGTTTTGTTAATCATGAAGGTCATAATGGCAGCAATTATAACAATCATGATGCTCAGGGCCTGATGCTCAAAGAGGCTGAATAAAAAATTGTCTTCCGGAAGGATTTCATTCTATTCTTTTTCTTTTGAGGCTTGTGGTAGTCATGATTACAACAGATGGGGGTTCCTCATCTAGCTTCAAATAAGTTCAAAGAAAACTAGTTGGTGAGAGGTATCAATCACCAAGGAATCCAATTATGCCTCATCACACGTTTGTCCATGGAAAAAGAAGGAAAGGGCCTCCTAACAGTTTTTATTCTTTAGTTTCCTTTTTGTTGTACTCTCACTTACTCCATTCTGTTTCCAGTTAATGTTTGTAAATTCACTGCAACTTTATCACTTTTTCTAGTTGGGCTTCTTCCTTGGGGAGTGGGCTTTAGATGATTATGGATCACCACAGCAGCGAACTATCTGATCCTGTTGCCAATGCCTGTCTGTATATTTGAAACCCGGACTTGTTCACTTACTGGACCCTTGAACAGTTGAGTTCTACGTAGGTCATTTTCTTGTCACTAGATTTTCATATTGACGTGAGAAAATAAGATAAGAACATCTGGGAAATTACCAAACACGCTCAAGACACAAACTTACTTCATTCTCAACCTTTCAAGAAATTTAATTTCATGGACAAGCGGTGAAAATCTTAGTTTTATATACACAAGACATGTTACGACACAGATCAACAATGACAATTTGATTTGATAAAATTTATTCAAAAGGAAACAAGGCCCTGACCTGTTTGTTAATTTTCTTTTGATAATACAGATACTCCACACAGAAGATGGCAGGGCTAGGGGTGTGCATAGGTCGGTTCGGGTCGGTTTTCGGTCGGTTTTGACTAAAAACCGATCAAAAATTTTTGAGATATAACCGACCGAACCGCCATGGTATAAAGTCGGTTTCGTCAGGTCGGTGTGGGGGAGGAAATTTATGGACTTGAGTGGGGGGGGGGGGGGGCGGAATTGGGACTCGTGGGAGGGGGGCCAGGGGAATCGGGACTCGTGGGAGGGGACTCTTGGGAGGGGGCCGGGGGAATCGGATCGCTCGTGGGAGGGGCCCGGGGGGAATCAGGTCTGCTGGGGCCGGGGGTAGTCTGGAGTTGAGACTAGTGAGGGGGGTCGGTGGGAGAATCAGTGAGTCAGGAGAGATTGGGAGGGGGATTTTGTTAGGTCGGCGGGTTGGGAGGAGAATTAGCCAATTAGGGTCAACATCGAGTCGGGGGCCTCGGGGGGTCGGTTGGGGAAGTACTAGAGTGCTGTGCTGCTTGCTGCTGTCGGGGCAGCCGGGCGGAACCCATGGGTCACCTTGAATAGTTCGATTTTTCGATCGGTTCGAGGGAGAAGGATTCCCCGACAACCGAACCGATCAGCCGACAAGGCCAATCGGTTCACACCGACGGTTGCAAAAACAGCGGTCGGTTGGGCGGTTCCAACCGACCGTTGCCCTCTCCTAAGCAGGGCTGGGCCTGGGAGCCTGATACTACAGTATCAGATTTCACGTTGGCAAGTGCTGCCTCAGCTCTCTCTCTCTGAGAGGAGATTCTTGACCAACAACTCATATCCATAATAGATTCTGCCTTAATCTATAAATTTGTTTTGTGGATATGGGGTAGTAATATAATTCTGGATTTTCATTTTTTCCAAATGTACTGCTAAACAGGGCGTAAGGAAAAGATTTTCCTCCATTTCACACCTTTAAGAGACATGGCTTTCACTTGATGCCTACCCTTGAGAAACCCAGCCACATATTACGACAGCGTGGATACCAAATGCTTTCCAACTAGCAAATATGTAGACATAGAATCATATAAAGCTTATCTCCGTTTTCGTTTTCTCCAATTCCCCAATAAGAAATTGATCTTGCGTGAAAGTGGAGAAGTGTTGTTTGATGTGACATGTTTGTTTGTATTCATTCAGTTTGAGCACTTTTGCGGAAAAAATCCGGTAGAGGATTGCTGCGACTTTTCATGGCATGGAATCACCATGTATCTTTAGTTAATAGTATTGATCATCAATTCATCATCAAGGAGTACTTGCTAGTAAACATTCATTGGGGGCTTTGGCTTGCTTAGGCAACAAATAGTCAAATATCGACTCACCCCTGTTGAGAAAACACTAGAAGGCTCTTCAAGCATATGTTTAAAGTGAGTAACTCTCATTCAAACCCTTTGGAAAAAGGCACTTAAAACACACTTCTAAGCCTATCCACGGAAAGGCATATTGGCCATCCATTCAAAAGGAGTGTAAAGTTTTATGGGCTCAAAAAGAGTTGTCAGCAGGCAATTACCCACTCCATTCTTTCTTAAATCCCTTGGATTAATTTAGATAAAAGAAAGGGAAAAGAAGGAAAATTCACTCTGCCTGGTTACTGGCATGATTGGTTTCCTACCGTCTTCTAACTCTCAAATACAATAGGAAATAAGATTAAGAAGAGTACAGTAACCCCCAAACAGCAGATCTGGGAAAGGCAAACCTTTTTTTATCATATCTCAGTACATATGCATATATCTGTCAGAAGGATCCGATTCAGCTGCTGAAACAGTAACAGATTCTATAGGAACAAATGCCAAACATACCACCCATAGTTGTCCGCATGGAATGAAACTCCTCTTAGCTCTCTATTCTAGCTGAGACCTACTGATAGTCATCCAAAACCCTACGACATGCACCTAAAGCAGCACCTATCTGTGAGTAAAATATAAAATAAACTGAAGAAAGTAACATATGGCTGGTTCAGGGAGCTTTTGGATGAGCATCAACCAGTCTCTGCAGTGCCATTATTGTTGTTGGTGTAGTTCTTTGAGGCCGGGTACTTTATAGCATTAAGTTCAACTTTGCGCAGAGCAGCTTTCCCCAGATCAATGCCACAAATATCAGAGAGCCTGACAAGGTAGAGTAGAACATCGGAAAGCTCTTCCCCAAGGTGCACTTTCTCCTCTTCTTTCCAATCAGGCAATCCTTTTGGGACCTCTCCTTTCCACTGAAATATCTCAGAGAGTTCTCCTACTTCACCCACCTATACGATTCATCACAAATATCCAAAAATACAAAAGTTACTTTCTACCAGGTTTAGCCGTTACAATGAACTAGAATCATTAATCTTTTGAAGCATGTTTAATTACTATCGGTTTATGAATATGATAGGAAAAGTAAGAGCAAGAAAAAGGTTATGATTTCCTGGTATACACAACAAAAAAGGGGAAGCCTGTTTGCACTTTGCAGAGACAGTTAGTCAAGTTTGACCCTGTGCAAGACAACATTCACAAGACAAGTTAAAAGGCGAAAACCCTAACTTGGAAATCAAGAAAAGTACTAGTAATGAGGAGGAAACAGAAATGGCCCACTTGCAAAGTTGCATCCAAGTTTTGTGTTTTAAGGAGCACGGGATAACGATAAAGTAAATAATATTTCTTCTAATCCAACTGGTTTAAGCTGTATTTTGTTTGGTCAATCCTCCACAACATAGAAAATGGAAGACATTAGTACAACAACAAAAATAATATATTGGTAGTATCTGACCTTCCATCTTTCTTGGGTCATAGAAATCATAGAGATATGTTATCAGGAATCTACCTAATATCCAGAGACAGAACTTTACAAACCATAACAGAACGATAAGGAAAACCAGAGAAAAATATATAGAC